TATAAGAGTTCTTAACAAAGCTCCATCCATTCACGTCACAAACATACGAACGCCCCTCACAACGCAAGAGATCAAAGCCACAAACCTAAAACATGTTTGCAAAAATGTTTCATATTAACTAAGATCAAGCAATAATTAACCAATGATCGGAACAAAAAGGAAGTTTCACATATGTTTGCAAAAATTTGGCGGGGTTTCACTTACAGCTTGCCTAAATGCAATGCAAACCTCTCTTCCCATTTCCTTCTCCATAGGAGTAAGCAGTACAGGATATCTGACCTGTAATTGAAAAAAAGAAAAAGAAAAAGAAAATAATTATAAGAAAAAAATTTAATAATATAGTTTTAACAGTTAGCAACTAATTTTGGGGTTTGCTGCCAAACTTAATTTATCATCTTTACTGAAAAAGGAAAGTTTTCATTATGTATAACTTGAGAGGAGATAAAGCAATACATATTCAGAAGTACCCACAACAGCCGATGGGTCTTTTTTATGTGAGAATGCCGATAGATCATACAAGAACGAGTAGTTACTAGTTAGGCTTTGATATTTTTCATGTTGCATTTTGGAATTTCTAAAAGTGTAAGAAAGCCAAAGGGAATAAAATATCACAAGGGGGATTTTTAAGGATGTGCTAAAAAAAAATTAAAACAAAAAAAATAAAGTGCTTACTTCTTTACCATCAGGATTTCTCATAACAACTCCATCGACCACAGGAGATTTTCTTGCCTCGGCATGAGCATATTCTGGGCCTACTGTATACACCTATTATTATACAATGAAAAATCTGCTACTAAAAATCGAGGAATGTGGAATAATGCTAAAATTTTCAAATTCGAAAATTAAACAAACCTTCACATCTGTTCCACCCGTGGGCATGAACTCCTCGTATATATAAGAGCCTTCACGTCTCACTCTTCTGACCTCTGGATGAAATTCGCTAGATCGATTACCTACCTGAAAACGAGAGAGAGATAAAAGAACAAAAAGAATAACTTTAGAAGTTATTTAAAGAAAAAAAAAAGTAGAAAAATTGCTTATCACGATTCATGCTCATCAATATTAAACAACCGACACAGACCTAATTATTCATATTTTACTTTTTGAAGGAATATGATTATATTCTAATTAACAAGTATAGAATTCGCAATGAAATCAAATATTCTTGAATATGATTTGAAAAATGATATATATTTAATACAAACAAAATGACCTCACCTTCCGAAACAACTCCTTCATTCCCCCACCAGCTGAACTCGGGTAATATATCATTATACTGTGATCATCACCTTCACAAAATACGTAAGATGATAATAGGCTTTGCATCACATAGATTCTTGAAAAATATATTCTCCTTATTTACGTCTTACCATGAATAGGCTTCTCCACAAATGGCTTCCAGAACCTTCTCCCATGGACCTCGACAAAATCTTCCTCCTCGACAAAATAATCAAGCTCTTGGTTCGGACATTCCCTGTTAACCAATGCATATCTTGGCACAGGAAGTCCAAACATTTCAAGCCTCTGCTAAATGTCATTAAGAAAAAGTGAGAAAATAAATCTAATTAAGAAATATACATAAATAATATAAGTATCATTGACTGGTTTGTGTTTTAGCAACAAATTCTGAGTAAAAAGAAAAAAAAAATACTTTCAAGAAGGATAGTTAGAGAGCCTTCTTAACAACAAATATACTGAATATCACTCTAGAAATCGAATCAAATGAAAAAAAAAATCAGCAAAATCAAATGGAATCTATAATTAATCCAATAGACTAATAAAAGATGCGAACCTCATAAACACTTCTTCGGTCGTGAAGAATGTGTTGTGGGCCCAATTCATTTACGAGGAACGGCCTGAAAAGGCAAAAACCATTTTAGAAGTAATAAATTAGTAGCAAAGAGCATATTAGATGAAGACTTAATTATAAATACACAAACTGCTAACTTTTTGTTCAGCAGGAATGATCTGAGACTCTGAACTTTACAGAAAAATAAAATCCTTGAAACTCGTGGCAATGGTAACATTTGAATCAAATATGACAGTCTAATAAATTCAATGGGAGTGTAACAAAAAATATCAGGAAAAGAAAAATAAATGCTCACTGCGAAAAGTATGCAAAATGAGTATAAAGTAAATGGTGGTGCTGCAAACTATAATTAGTTTCTCTAGATGATATTCAACAAATAAACAAATAAATAAATCGCCTTTCTTGTATGTACCACGGAAAAAATAGAAGGAACAAGAACGAACAAAAGAGAAAAATAGGGGGAAAAAACAAAAAGGAAAAAAAAGGAATAAACAGAATATGCAAATGGAAAATTAGAGAAAATAAGCTTCATTCTTTACTTTCTTAGTGCAGCATATGCTTCAGCCTTTTCCAAGGGATAACCAGAGGAATAGAAGGCAATCAAGCAGTCACATAAAGGCCATCTGCAATTTCAACAAATACAAGTCATCCCCACACACTCAACTACTAAAATCTTGAAATAAAAAGAAGAACATACTAAAAGTCTAAAATCAAACTAGAAAAAAGCATTAGAAAAGCAGCAATCATCACAGTCATCGTCATTTTAACTCAGTAAACAAAAATTTTCACCTCTCAATGGGCTCATCAAGGATCACCTTGTCCCCAAAATGCACTATCTACATCATTCAAAGTCAAACAGCCATGAAAAGATAAACAATAAAGAATGACAGAGCCATCAATTGAACTTCCAGAAACTTCTACAATCAGCATTGTAATGGAAATTCATTCTCTTTCCTCCCCACCATTCATTCAACGAATTCAATTATCAGAAAACACTAAACTTGGCAAAAAATCAATACCTCAAATTCTCCGAACGCCTCCAGTCTCTCCAGAATCTCCAACATCGGCCGCGAAAAAGCCTGTAAAGGGTCCAAATGGGAACAAAAAAAATTAAATAAATAAAAATGAAACCCACAAACAATCACGCACAAAAAAGATTAAAAATTTAGTATAGCAACCATCTCCTATTCCCACTATTGCTGCATGGTTCTTTGTTTGAATTGAAAAAAATAAAATCTGTCAAAACAAAAGAAACAAAACCTCTGAGCCGCATTTCACCTTCTTTTCCATAACACAAACTCCTATCGTTATTTTCCGGTGAAACCCATCTTCATCCCCCTCCATTCTACCTCGAAAAATGTCAAGAAAAAAAATACAACCTTCACCTGCAACTTCCTCTCACGCACTGCTCAAAAGCCCAGAACAAAAATTCGTTTTTTAAGCGAAAAACAGAAACTTTATAGCGAAAAACGCAAACGGGCACACATACATTACAATAATGGTAAATATAGAAAAAAACACCAAAGAATAAAACCTACACGAGTTTGTTCAAGCCCAGATGCTAGAATTTCGGTATGGGTGAAACAAACAAAAACAAAAATAAAAACAAAACACGTATTCGCTTATGCCACCGCTTTTTTCCGAAAGCCAATTTTGTTTTTTTCCTTATCTGTAACAACCATGGAAGGAGAGTTGCAGCGCGTGATGTTTTGAGCTTTTCTTTTTACACGGGGTTTTTGTGTTTGTTTATTGCTTTTAGTATCTCAGGTGAAGTTGGATGTGGGCATGGTTTATTCCAGAAAGGCAGTGATGCACCGATATACAAAAAGATACTTTGTTCACTGATCCTAATGGTCACGGGTGGGATAAAAATCGACGAAAACGAAAAATCAAGTCGAATTGTACAATTCGGTACGGTGCATCAATTTGGTTTTGGCTCATTATTTTAGCGTGTTATTGTGATGTAGTTCGGCTNTTTGAGTGAAATCGAACCCAAATGCATTAAAAATCAAGTCGAATTTGCGTAATATATTTCAGTTTTGTTATTTTTACTATAGAAAAAAATAATCAATTTGGTATTGTAAAATCGTGGTACATTCAATTTGTAAATTTTGAATTTTCATTTTTGGGGTTTAGTGTGATTAGAGCATCTCCAGTGGCACATTGTCCATTTTGAGATGTATAACATGTAGAAAAAAATTTATAAAATTTTGTTTTCAATGGTTAATGTCAATTTTAGTATAATTTGGCACGTGTAAGATTATAATTAGTTGAAGATGAGATATATATTTAACAAATAATATAATATATAATAGAGGGTGTCTGAAAGTATTTTTATATTTAGAAAGACTTCTATACATTTTGAATGCTACGTAAGATTCGCTATGCCACATGGCAATAAAATGTACCATTGGAGATACTCTTATACACCATAATGTACAGTTGGTTATCCTTAATAGATGACTTTTTGAACCTTTTTTTTTTCTTTACATACATTATCTTTTTTCTTTTTCCTTCTTAGAATTATATAGTAAAATCATTTTTTTTTTTGTTAAGGTAATCCCCCTTATATATTAATTCAACACGTGTTGAGTCTAAGTGGCAAGCTCGCATGTTTCGGGATCCTATGTGGCAAAATTACATGCTTCGTTATTAGGCTTGGGTAAATTTTAATTTTTTTCCAGAGGTCCAGATTATCCATAAATACGTTGATTATTTATGGTTATGTTACATTTATTACTTGCATTTTAATATCATTTCTTATTATAACCATTGACTTGTAAATGTATTTTAAAATTTAATAACTTTTGTTTTTTATCAATTTCACATATATAACATATGAAATTAATCATCTCTTGATGAGCTTCGATTTAGCATCTATATTGTATGTATAAGAAAAATAAATTATATTTATCTTTATAACAATAATAAGATTATTTTTTAATATTTATTAGGAAAATAAAATTATTTATTAATTAATATATTTCTATTTCAAGTAGTTATATTATATAAGTTACAAAAATTACTATAATATAACACATGTAAGTCGCACAAGTAACAAGTGTCATTCTAAAATATATAATAATATATATTTTTTTGTAAAAGTAAATAAAATTTAAAATATTTTTTTTCATTAATTTTAAAATTTAAGAATAATTTTTTAATAAGCACTCGTGTAATACACGGGTCTTGTACTAGTACAAATTTAATAGCAAGGCATTGTATTTACAATATTCCATTTTTTTTAATATATCTTGAATTTTTTCACTAGGGGAAATTAGACATAAAAGACAATGAAAAAAGAAAAACCTTTTTGGTATGAAGTAAACTATTGATTGCTGCAGATAAGATCTCATGATTTTTGTGACTGAAACATTTACATAATGGACCCATTTGCATCTCTTTTTAGATGAAAGCAAAAAGGTTCTTCTTATCATTTATCAGTTGTTTCCATACACCCATTTGCATCTCTTTATATGAAAGCAAAAAGGTTATCATTTATTAGTTGATCTCTCATAAATAACTCAGTGTAGATATAGATATGTAAGCAAGTGGAGTCGAGCATAAATTTCTAACGCTTTGTTTTTATCGAGTTGAGCTATTAACTAAACAAACTGATGAACAAACTCAAGTTCAAACTTGGCTCATCTATTAATATTAATGCGTCGAACTCGAATATTAACGAGTCGAACTACATAAAATTAAATAAAAAATTATAGTTTTGAGTCATAGCATGCCTTAATGAGCTATGATTGGCTCGTAAACTAAACGAGCTCAAATTCACGAATATATAATATAATATGAAACAAGTTGTTCGTGAATTTGATAATTTATATTTAAGCCATATTATATGGTTATTTACATTTATAAACTTGATAATTTATATTTTTCCATATTATATAATAATTTTATATTAAGTCATATAAAATAAAATATGAGAAAAATTATATTAAGGTCAAATTATATAATGAATTTAATATAGACAAATTTATTTAATCGTTATTATAAAATTGATCTTTCATGAAGGACTGGTTGAAATTCATTGCAAATTTATCTTTGCAAAGGAAGCATGAGCAAGAGTGTTCAAGGTTGTTGATTTTCCATTTCCATTGACATCTAACTGAAATGCATATGAGATCCATTAGTTGTTCGTCTTCTCTTTTGTTAATTGTTCCTGTCGCGAATGACCAACTTTTGCTCAGATCCACTCCCCGAGGAATTCCGGAGCGACCCGAAGTTGGCCGCGGACACTCAATCACCCACTGGAGTCGTAAGCAATTTTCGACACTTTTTCATGATTTTTTTAACCTTAATCGAGCTTATTTACTGTTTTAGCTGGATTTTAAAGTGTGAAAATTGGCCCAAGTTTGCACCTTTTTGCCCAGATGTATTCTAGATAGCAACAGCAATTGGTGAAAATTGAAGTTCCTTTAGAAAGTTCATCACAGGAAATCTCAATTCGATATGCAGGTAAAGGCCAGCGACAATCGCACTACATTGTATTATTTCAGAAGGAGATTTAGGTTTTTGCAAACCCTAGAGTCTCTTCCCGAAGATTTGTTGTTGGAAATCCTTGTTCGTCTCCCCGCTCATGTTATTCGAGACTCTGTAGGTCTTGATTGCCCCAAATGGTACCATTTGACCCGTACATTCGCACGCACTTTCAGCGTGCAACCTCCGGGCTCCTCTTGCACTCTTGGATCTTCCCTCAAGAACTGATTTTTATCTCCATGAAGGAGGGCCGGGTCGAGAAATTCAGTTCCCGCAATGAATATAGCCGTGGTATTTGGTCCAGCTGTAATGGTCTGGTTTTTGGAAGCTCATGTTATAGTAAATCTTAATTGTGCATCCTGAATCCTGCAACCAACCAACACTATGACCTCCCTCCTTTTTTCCACAAGAGTTTTGTCAAGTTTTTTTCTTGTTTAGCGTATGTGGCGGCCTCTAAAGAGTACAAAGTGCTCTTATGTGTCATCATGTGGGAGGAAATGGAGGTTTACCAACTTTTGGCTGCGCCATATTAACTGTTGGGGTCGATACCTCTTGGAGGCACGTGCCCGCCCAACACTTGTCTGAAACAAGCAGGAGATTGCTATGCAAAGACACTCCATTGGCGACTGAAGGTTTTGTGCATTGGGTCACAGATAGGATTGCTACTTTGTTGACTCTGAATGTGGAGACTGAAACTATATCCGAGTCGCGGGTCCCACTTCCTCGAGCTCATAGAGGGAAGAGAAGGTTTTATCTGTCGACAGGAAGGTATCTAACTGTATTGGTCGCCCTTGGGAATTTCTCGTGGGATGTTTGGCAGATGGAATCAGAAAGTGGGGAGTGGCTCAAGGTAATCTGCATTGATTTGGAGGATGAAAAGTGGAAGTTTGACCGGTTTCTCCAAGATCGCAAAGAAAATCTCGTTATAGATGAAGGGATGTTGTTCGTTCCAGTCGGTTGGCTAGATTACCCAGACGTGCTCGTATTTCATCCTCCGCGCAGAAATTACAGTTGCATCGTGTACAAGGTTCGTACGCGCGAAATTGACTCGTTCTGAGTTATCGACATGGGTTGGAAATTATATTTTTACATTCCACAAGAGTAGTCTGTTGTCAGTCCGCTGAGGCTAAACATTAAATTATTTATATTTTAGTTTTCATACTAGTCATTTTTCTAAACATTGAGTATTTATATTCTAGCTTTCTTACTTTGTCATTTTTCTCTGAGTACAATAAATCTAATGTACGACAGTTGTGTTATGAAAAGTTTCTTAATTTGCCATGTATTCAGATTGAGATGATCAGTTTTTGGACGAGTTTTATGTTTAAATAGCCTTTTTCATTTCCCTTGATATCTACATTTGAGGTACTTATGTTAAGATGTCTCTCTCTTCTTGTTTGGTTGGCTGCAATCTCATTCCATGGTATTATATCAGGATCGGTTTTTTGTTTATTGTGTTATCTAGTAGCTTCTATTCTTGGTTTCTTCAAAATGGGAGGGAAAATATTTTTGGGGAGGATTCAATTCTGGAAGACTTCCGATGCAGTTAAAAGTTTTAGGTGATTGGATATGAATTCAACTAGTAAAAAACTAGTTTTTTTTAATTATAATTAAGTTTGAAAAAAAAGTAGTATGGTTAGTTGTTAGTTGATATATTAAAATAATATTTAAATTAAAATAATTAAAGTTGATTTGATGTAAAAGTAAGAAAAAATGATTGGAAGTGATAGTTAGTTAAAATTATGTGAGTGGGTGAATAGTGAATTAAAGTTGATGTGATGTATAAGAATGATTGGTTGATATTATTTAATTATATTGATAATATTGGAGATAGTGGAGTTAAGTTAAAGTTGAGTTAAATTTAAGTATTGAGTGGGATATGTACTGTACAAATTATATACAATCACGCCTTATATTTTTATCAACCCAATTAAAACTTTAACTGTTCTTTCGAGTCTGCTAACTTGAATGACTTCAAGAATGTGAATAAATATCGATATTTGTTCTTGGTTTGCTGTGTTTTGTTGTTCAATTTTCGCGTGGGTATTTTCATTACACTTCTTATTTGTCTTCATTATTGTACAAATGTAGATTAGGGCTTATCTATTCCTTCGTTTTTTGGTTGGTTTACATCATAAAAGAATCGATTTTGAGACTGCCCTCTTATCCACTCAAATTCCTTTCGCATCGAAGAATGACTTGCATCGATCCGTGGATTTAGAAATGAAACGGCTCAAATCTGCCAGTCGGCCATTCAAGCTTTATACTCCTTTGACAGAAGTCGGAGGGTTTAGCTCCAAAATTTACAGAAGACGAGAGTATTTTCTTCAGAAAGAGGGAATTCCTCAAATCCTAAAATACTTATTTATACTATGCCCAATACATAAAACTTAGAACTCTAAGGACCTCATTGCAAAATGATAAAATTACATATTTTAATATATCGTCCCTTCGTATAATTCATGAATGCGTTGAGCCTAAGTGGCAGGCTTGTGTGTTTCGTAAGCTTATTTGACATAGTTCATTATACAAGTTGAAATGAAATATAAATTATTCCGCTAATTTACCTTCAATCCGCTATCTACCAAACGGGGCCATAAATTGATGTTTCGTATTGACATGTGTTCAAACTTGGTTTTAATTAATTACCATAAATTATTTTAGCTTTCATTCTTTCTTAAATATTAATATATTTAAGTACACGTACACACTACACAGGTTGTACCAGTAATCCAACAGGTTGTACTAGTAATTTGATAGCGTTGAAGGAGATACATGTTTGTTTATAAAAAATTTTGGTTTTATTTGGATTTTTTGATTTTGTTTGGTTAATTTTGAAAAAGGTGGTATAGTTAGTTGTTAGTGGGTATAATAAAATAATATATAAAATAAAATAATAAAAATTGATTTGATGTAAAAATAAGAGAGAGAGAGATTTGAAGTGATGGTTAGTTAAAATAATGTGAGTGGATGAATAGTGAATTAAAGTTGATGTGGTGTGTATGAATGATTGATTGATATTATTTAATTATATTGATAATTTTGATGATAGTGGGGTTGAGTTAAAATTACTTAAAAAAAGTGGTTAAGCTAAAATGTGGGAAATTTTTGGAAAAATTCCATAAACAAACATGGTCAAAATGCAGATAAACCCATTTTTCTCCATTTAGTAGCGTTTTTCTCTCCGAAAACACTTTCATTCTCTGATTTATCTTTGCAAAGGAAGCATGGGCATTTATCTTTGCAAAGGAAGCATGGGCAAGAGTGTTCAAGGTTGTTGATTTTTCCATTTTCATTGACATCTAACTGAAATACATATTAGATCCATTAGTTGTTTTTCTTCTCTATTATTAGTTGTTCTTGTTGCCAGTGACCAATTTTTTATCAGATCCACTCCCCCAGGGATTAAGGAGCGACCCGAAGTTCCCCGCGGACACTCAATCACCCACTGGAGTCGTAAGCAACTTTTGACACATTTTCATGATTTTTTGAACCTTAATCGAGCTTATTTACTGTTTTAGCTGGATTTAAAGTGTGAAAATTGGCCCAAGTTTGCGCCGCCCAGATCCATTCTAGACAGCAGCAGCAATTGTTTAAAAATTGTTTCAAAATTGTTTCAGATTACAGACAAACTTGTTGAAAAATTGAAGTTTCTTCAGAAAGTTCATAACGGGAAATCTCAAAATCGATATGCAGGTAAAGGCTAGCGATAATCGCACAACATTGTATTATTTCAGGAGGAGATTTAGGTTACCAAACATAGAGTCTCTTCCCGATGTTTTGTTATTGGACATCCTTGCTCGTCTCCCCGCTCATGTTATTCGAGACTCTGTAAGTCTTGTTTGCCCCAAATGGTACCATTTGACCCGTACACATGACTTCATTCACGCGCACTTTCAGCGTGCAACCTCTGGGCTCCTCTTGCACTCTACGATGTTCCCTAAAGAAGTGATTTTTATCTCCATGAAGGAGGGCCGGGTCGAGAAATTCAGGTCCCGCAATGAATATGGCTGCAAGATTTGGTCCAGCTGTAATGGTCTGGCTTTTGGAAGCTGCTCATGTGATCTTAAGTCTAAATTGTGCATCCTGAATCCTGCAACCAACCAGCACTATGACCTCCCTCTTTTTTCCCACAAAATTGTTGTGAAGATTTTTTCTTGTTTAGCATATGTGGCGGCCTCTAACGAGTACAAAGTGCTCTTCTGTCATCAAGTGGGAGAAATTGGTGGTTTCCCGACTTTTGGCTGCGCCATATTAACTGTTGGGGTCGATACCTCTTGGAGGCACGTGCCCACCCAACACTTGTCTGAAACAAGCAGGGGATTGCTATGGGTAAAAATTCCATTGACGACTGAAGGTTTTGTGCATTGGGTCTCAGAGAGTTATGGTAATGTTTTGACAATGAATGTGGAGACTGAAACTATATCCAAGTCGCGGGTCCCACTTCCTCGAGCTCATAGACGGAAGATAATGTTTTATCTTTCGACAGGAAGGTATCTAACTGTATTGGTTGCCCTTGGGAAATACTCGTGGGATGTTTGGCAGATGGAATCAGAAACTGGGGAGTGGCTCAAGGTAATCAGCATTGATTTGGCGGATGAAAAGTGGAAGTTTGACCGGTTTTTGCGAGATAGCGACGAAAATCTCGGTTGGCTAGGTGAAGTGTTTTGGTTCGTTCCGGTCGGTTGGCTAGATTACCCGGATGTGCTCGTTTTTCATCCTCCTCCCAAAAATCGAAGTTGCATCGTGTACAAGGTTCGTACGCGCGAAATCGACTCGTTCGAGTTATCGACATGGGTTGGAAATTATACCTTTCGATTCCACAAGAGTAGTCTGTTGTCAGTCGGCTGAGGCTAAACATTGAATTATTTATATTTTAGTTTTTGTACTAGTCATCTTTCTAAACATTGAGTATTTATATGTTAGCTTTCTTACTAGTCATTTTTCTCGAGTACAAGAAATCTAATGTACGACAGTTGTGTTATGAAAAGTTTCTTAATTTGCCATGTGTTGAGATTGAGATGTTCAGTTTTTGGATGAGTTTTATCTTTCAACAGCCTTTTTCATTTCTCTTGATATCTACGTTTGAGGCACTTATGTTAAGATATGATGTGAGGTATCATATTATACATATGCAGATTAATCCTTTTTTGAGTATATGGTTACAGTGTCTCTCTCTTCTTGTTTGGTTGGCTGAAATCTCATTCCATCGTATTATTTCAGGATCAGTTTTTTGTTTATTGTGTTGATCTAGTAGCTTCTATTCTTGGTTTCTTCAAAATGGGAGGGAAAATATTTTTGGGGAGGATTCAATTCTGGAAGACTTCCGATGCAGTTCCAGTCTTCATATTTTTATCAATACAATTGTAATTGAAATTTTACGGTGTGAATGGTTATGTTAATAAATATCCATTCTTTCGAGTCTGCTAACTTGAATGACTTCAGGAATGTGAATAAATGTCGATATTTGTTCTTGGTTTTGCTGTGTTTTGTTGTTCAATTTTGGCGTGGGTATTTTCATTACAGTTCTTATTTGTCTTATTGTCTTCATTATTGTACAAATGTAGATCAGGGCTTATCTACAGAAACAGTGAGTACATCTTAGAAAGTGAGACTAGGGAAACTAAGGGTAGTTACCTGATTTGTTAGATGTCACTGAGATTGTTGATTCTCTCCAAATGTACCTTTGTTAATTTTTCTCTATCATATTTCGTTGTGGATGGATATTGGATACTAAAGAATAGTTGCATTTCACCTGCTTTTTATTGGTTGTTGTTAATGGTGAAAGATAACCTCTGTAATTTGTTGCCCACAATATAGATAAATAAACGTTGTCTTACAAATTGGTCGCGATTATATTAGGTCACTTTTCAAAATTCATATATTAGGTCTACGTCTTTATGAGGTGTGTATGAGTCCATATGATCTTTATTTAGATTTTTTTTGTGATCGTTAAAACAACCGACGGCTGTCCAAGTATATAAAAACAATTAAATTTAGCGTCTGGTATTTTAGTTGAGATATTACTTTGACTTGCACCTATATGGCTGGCGTGTGAACGGTTACATTCTATGTGTTATCCAGGAGACCTAAAAGCTGTTGAAGAACTCAACTGGAGGAGGAGAATTTTTTTTGGCATGCTGTACAAATAGTACAGACCTGGGATTGCAGGACCACCATTTTGACGGGGACATATATCTTGACAATTAATTTGTAACTAATACAAATTACCAACTTGTCTAAGTTACTAACTGCTTGAAGATTTTCAAAGTACGTGGGCCTTCAAATTGTTGCAGCGTTATAGGAACAACTACAGAATATCCAATGATGATGTTCAGGTTAGTTAACGATGTGTGGTTCATGTCACTTTACTATTGGAGAATTGTAGACGCTAGGCCAAATGATGATACGCGTGTTGTCAATTTGTATTTGCTATCAAGCACTGTCTTAGTTTGAGTATTGAATAAACTGACAATACGCGTGTTCTCTTTT